GTTTAGACACCTTCCGAGCCATTAAAAGGCAATAACACGTTGCTGGAGCAGCAAACGTGACAGCACACTATTTAGCTCTGTCTCTGGAAATCACAGCCTAGATGGCAAAAGCAATATTAATAGTACTGTGAAACATTAATCAATATGTTTTTAAATTAAGTGTTAAGGGTACAAAGCCTTGTGCTGGAATGCACTAAGCTGTACAGTGATATATGAAGCCATGGCTGCAGCCACACTTGAACGTTTAAGATTTGGGACACGTACATGAACCTCATTAAGTAATTCCTGATTGCACTTGCCTATCTTGGTGTATACATACCTCAATATGTGTGTGTAAATGATGAACTGTATCCTTGGGTTTTAGAAGGATGTTTTCTGTAAAGTCTTAAAACACATTTAAATGTCAAGATCCAGGTGAAAGATGAATATTAGGAGGACAGTCCAGTTGCAAGCAGGGGACCCAAGTACAACATCATCTCCTCCAGCTAGCAAACAGCAGGAACCTTCATCAGCAGGTCAGAGGAAATAAGTTAATAGATAAGAAATGAATGACAGGCCTATAAGTTACATCTATTTCCTACAGCTTCTATTTAGTATAAAGGCTCCCAGGGACCATTTAGGATCTACGCTTTGCATGTGGGCAATGACCACAGAAATACAAAACACAAGGGAAAAAATCCCTGGGAAGGCCAGAGCACRGATAAGCTCACCCCAAAATCCCTTCTGAAGCTTCAGCTCAGAGGGCAAATAATTATTTCCTATTGCAATGCCCTCACGCTGCATTTTTGGAGATAGCATATGAGCAATGTGTCACCAGGTATACCATAAACCTCACTGAGCATATCTAGAAAATATCCAGAAAATCTGAGAGGTTTTTCTCCTCTCAGAAGCTGGAGTTGCACTTAAAATGGAGGAGAAAAAAAATCTATAAAGATGTAGAATATTCATTCAGAAGACAAATTTTACATTTTTCTACATTTCTACAGAATCTACGCTAGAAAAAWAAAACTCTAGATTTTCAGTAGGGTAAAGAGATTATGCATACTTTTCTGTTATTTTTACACCTACATGTAAGTCATTAAACTGATAAAACTCGTAATGGTATTCATTAAATTTCAACTTTCAGATGCATAACCCACTCTCCCACTCATTTTCCCTATCCTGATATTAGATAAGAGCTACAGAAGACCATTAACACGCTGAAATGTTTTCATGCAGGGAACAAATTATCCCACAGAAAATAATGTCTCACTTAGGAGCACCTTTCTCTCTGGCCAGCCACCACTTTGCATTCTTGCAAAGAAAGGGAAAAAGAGAATAAAAACTAAACCACAAAAGCCTGCGYGGAGGCTGAGGAGCTATAATGCTATGGCAGAAACCTGCACCCTCAAACCCTTCTCTGCTAGAACGTTGAAATAATTGCCTTTTTGCTTCAAAAATACACACGAGGATAAAATAACTGCCAACTGATGCACAGATTGGTTCTTATTTGGGCTGCTGCTGTGCTTAAATTAATTTTCTCAGGTTCTGCTTTCTTTTTCTTCCCCCTTTAGCCGTCTGTGAACAATGGCATCATGAAACAGCCCAGCTCACAACACGGTATAAGGAGGCTCATTAAAATGCAGCCTCATTAATTACTTTTGAAATTAAGTTATACTGGCTATCACTATCTCAGTGCTTCAGATTCCTCAAGCATACATAAAAGAAAAGTTATTATCTCACCTCCAGAAAGTGCTTAAAGATTAATAACAGCAAGAGGCTAATACCAGATTCTATGAGATACACGAGGAAACACAATCAATGCATATATATATATATTTTTACCAAGTATCATCCCATTTGCTGACTCTTGCTGTTATCRCATTTACCATCCTTCTGTTAGCTCAAAATATATATTGGCTTGTGCATAAATGTATACAAATGCACATAATGAGGCTTTCCCTGATCATGCTACCAAACTTTTGGGCTGAGATCAGAAGTATTTATGCTCTTCTARTGTGCCTGACACAGCAAGGTCAGGAATTCCAAGGAATTCCTTAGAATTGCATCATGTTCATTGGTTGCATTTTGAAGATTATCTTCTAAATGTAAAGATATCTCCAATTTACACACTCTTTGTGCTACGAGGGCCCTGAGCAACCCTGTCTGACCCTGCTTGGAGCAGGACACGGGACTGGAGATGCCTCCTTGGTCTTTGCCTGGTGACATTCCCCTCCTTGGAAGTGTCTTAGTTTTCCCAACCACATCTCCCGAAGGACAAAGTTTCTTTATTCCGYGTCAAGACCGAGCCCTTCTGTCCAACACCATGACCTAGCCAGTCTTTTTATACCGTATGCTCCTGTTGTGGGGGAATTGCTACAGCTTTTATAGCTTTATAGCTATAAGGGTAGAGCTTTACCCCTGCCGAGCAGGGTCTCAGGACTCCAAGAGACTCTGAGAAAACACTTGGATTTATATCTGTGATAATGGGTAWAGAGCAATACATTGTGGATACTCGCAGCATATATTCAGTTCCAGCTTCAATGGATAGGCCTGACAGGCATCTGATTTCTGACATACTGGGAATATATGCAATATAACTGAGTACTCCAGCAACAGACTCAGTATTTTTTGCTGATTGTTAAGAGCACTTCAGAAAGATATTATTTGCTGTATTTACAGTGGGACATTGATGCTATTATTTAGCAATAAGACAATTAAGACATTCTAAAGATTATAGAGACTTACCTACTCCGCTAGCAAAAGCGCATCTAAGAAATACCTGGAAATGCAAGGCTTACAGTACTGWGCGTGCCAGTAAAAACAAAATCCTTTCAGACTTCCCTGGCTTAACAGAAATAGCTGCAGRAGAGTCCTGTGGGAGCATCTTGCATATACATATATATATATATATATTCCAAACTCAGTAGAGCCAAGTTTAACTAATGATTCCCTCTCAGATTCCATSAGGCTCCTTCGCAAATGCCCCACAAACAGCACCCATTTGCAGCTTCATTCCTACCCTCCCACGCTCAGATCCATCGCCGGAGCGAGGGCACTTGGAATTGCACGTCACCCAAGCGTGCCTTTTCTCCAGCACACTGCAACAAACACCCTATCTTAAACTTGCACCGCGTTTCGCTGCACCAGGGAAAACCGTAACTAAACCATAATTTAGGGATTATTTAGAAATACCCCATGTATTTAGATGTGGCTATCGGAGATAACAGTGTTCGAAAGGCTCACTAATCTTTCAAAAAGTGTTAAATTCCTGTTTTTATTGGAAGAAGTTCTTTCTGGCACAGGGATCCAGAAATTCAGCCAAACCTTTCCAAAGGTATCAGCATTAGACCACTCCTGAGGAAAGGGAGAACAGCTTGGCCTTTTATCTCCATCTCCCTYACATAAGCTTACATCAGCAAATAAGCTACACTAGTTTTCCATGTTAAGCCCCCAGTATATTTACTATTTTGCCTGCTAAAACTTACAAGCTCCATTTCCCACCCCCTAATCACATAATTGTGCATGCCTAATCGCATGACTATTACAGATGCGCTTGCAGTGCAGCTGACRTGTCTGCTGACGGAGCTCCTGCACGGTCTGTCCTTGTGGTACCTYCCACGTTATGACTTTAGCTTTGCACCAAGCTGGACGAGAGGGGATTTACGGCTGGGAATTGAGGGAAACTCAGAGGAGGAAAAAAAAATAAGTTTGATGATACCTATTAAATTTTTATTCTAAATATGAGCGCTTTATTCTATACATGCGCCTCTCTATTGATAGATCAGAGAATTTATAATCAAATCCCTTTGAACTGCCTTGATCAGTAAGAACTGTTTTTGTCAGTGAGAAACTAGCAGGTTTCTTACAGATAAGCCACCACTGTCAGGAATGGTTAGTCTTACATCTAAGGGAAAGACTCTCTTATGAGACAAAGGTTAAATTTCATCTCAGCCTTTCGATATGACCTTGGGTTATTTCCATAGTGGCTACAGTGGACCAGACTGTAGGAGGAAAGAAATTCTTTGTTACTTCCCATCTTGGTTTGTTTTGCCTGTTTAGAGTGCAAATTACCACAGGCAGAAATTTATATTACATAGCATAGTGTGTTTAAGACACAAAGACTTGATCCAGAGCCCAAATTCCAAGCCCAAATGCCCAAGGATCCAGGAAGATAGAATTTGTCACTCAGAATCTGGGAAAGATTTCACTCTGCCACTTGCAATAAAGAGGAGAGCTCCCTGTATTTAGAGCCCATGCAGAATGCAATGGGAGASAGCTGCAAGACAAAAAATAAATGTGAATCCCACTTCATGCTGATTCACTCTTCCCCTCCTCCCCAACCCAATGCAGTCGTATTTTTCATGATTAGTGGTAGTATTTTTTGATATTCTCTTAGAGAGATGCAGGATGTATTTTTCCTCTGAAATCTGGGCTGCACAGCAGTTGTTTCACAGGAGCAGAGCAGCTTCAGGTGGGAAGGCACCTCTGGAGACCGTCTAGTCYGACCCGCTGCTCAAGGCAGGGTCCCCTGGAGCAGGTTGCTCAGGGCAGCTTTCAGGTGGGTTCTCATCGTCCCCAAAGACGGAGCACAAGTGCATTCCACCGAGTGTATTCAGGCATATTGTGATAAATTTATTAAAGAAAAACCATCTACATGTGAGGTGTTATACAACTGCAAAATGTACTATTTGATTTTCTATCAATAATTCAATTGCCTGTAGCTTTAATTTCACACACTATCAAGTTCCCTTGCAACACGCACAGAACCTGCATCTTAATATTTCACATTTAAGAAAAAAATGCTTYTTTAAAGAGAGTTTGTTTATGCAAYGATATAAATTGTTTAAGGTCATTCTTTTTTAAAAAGAGATGCTTTTTACGCACTTAATTCCTAATCAAATGCTCAGTGCTGCATAAAGAGCTAATGACTTCCTCATGAACAGAGGTCCATCACACCAACAGGAGATGCTGCAGCAATGTTTGCACTGAAATTGAAATCTTATATTCCCTTTCCACTAATCAGAATTGTTACACAGATGTCCTCACTCACCGCTCAATACAAATTCTATAGCCATACTGTTTCGCACAACTAAAAACAGCAAAGAATTGCTTAACTAACCTGTATCCATACAAGTATTCCCTTGAAGGCTATATGTATTTACACAAAAATGCCCTGACCCAAGTGCCTTTTTCACAATAGCAACAGAAGAATGATGAAATACATAGTTATTCATGCATATGTACTTATCYGAACAATAAACAGGGCAACCAATCACTGCCATAATCCTATAACGCCAGCTCTTTGCCACCTTAAAATACACCTACCCATCACCACCACAGACACTGATCCTCAGGACCATTTGTCTTGGAAAAAGTTATTAATATCAAGAGTGATTACAACAGCTCCTATAAATATACATCATATAAATGCCTGGTTTTATGGAGTTCATGAATTGGGCAATGGGTTTTCATCACTCAAAATGAGACGTGTCAGGAAGCAGCAGCCAGCAAGTCCTCGCAGACCCACACAAGGGATGAAGACACTGCTGAGCCCAGGATTTTGCTGCCCAACGTGACGATCGGCGCTGCAATTGAAGGTGAAACGTGGTTAGACAGGGCTACGGCAGCTTGAAATTGCCCAAGATGACTGATAAGGCACTGAGGATTTTTCAGCGTGGATTTCAGCCTTTTGGGCATCAAGGTTATGTAGAGATTAAAAAGCTCGACCAAAAGCTACAGTCACTTTATGGGAATAGTTAATGCTGCCCTGTGCCAGCCAGCTGACAGCTAACACAGCCTGGGACAGCAGAATGAATGAATGCTAGAAGAAAAGATATTATCATCTCCTTAAAATAGGAAAAAAAATGTAAAAAATCCTTAAGCACCATCTCTGTGGAGCATATATATTACCATGAGTGATCGATATGGACWATGACCTTGGAAGGTTACTGAGTTCCAAGTTTATGAAGCTGATGTTACAGTGGCACATAAGACTCCAGCAGAGATGTCAGACATAATATTTAAGTTCCATGTAAAACACAGCTGTTTTTAGAAATGTCATAAATATCTCAGTATTGTGAAWCTCTTTCACATTGAATCCATAAAAAAAGATTAAAATACCTTTTAAAGAAAGATTAAAATACCTTTTAAGCTTTAAGTACAATATCTGCTGTGCAATATTAGAAAATTTACTTCCACTACATTTAGTTTAATGTAAGAAGAATTAAAAAGGGTGCAAGCTGCTGATTGTCCAGATGTGTAGAAACAAAGACTCTTTGGCAGCCCGCTTTTGACTGTGGGTTCTGACAGCAAACTTGGATCTTCCCATCAGCAGCRCATTGCAAGAATGGGAAATTAAATATAACGTACACAGAAAACAGGGAAATCCAAAACATGACATGAGTAGGAGTTTTTCTTTTTGAATGAGAAAACTGGGGGGGGGGGTATCACTTTACGGTGTAGTTAAGGAAGCTTTAAATAAATCTTTGCATTTTGGAACAATTTTAGAATCACAGAGACAGCTAATGCCATCATCAAATTCTCTTTGAAATTAAAATACTTCCAAAAGCAGTTATGCCTCACTGGCTTGAGTCACAAAATTATATGCTTTTGTCCATACCTCACTCATTGCCACGGTCCATGATAAGGTTTAGAAAAATAGGAAAAGAACCAGAAATGAAACAGGTTGCAATCTATATGCAAAGCRTTAAGGAAAAGGTGCAAATGTCACCTAAAAATATGCATGCCTGCTCCTAAATATCGTAGGATCAATAGTGTTAATCATGTACAGCCAAGGGCTTTTCTTTAGCTCCTTGCACCTGACGTGGCAGGTGGGTGAGCTAAGGTAGGGTCTAACACCAGAAGAGACTGCCGTTTCCTCGGGCGTTTTCTGCACTTCTTASGAGCAGCAGGCAGGGCTGTGCTGCTGGCGGGCCCCAAAGGCTTGGGGAGCAGGCTCCATTCGCAGCCACGTGTTTAAGACACCCGAGCATCAGAGCAGCTTGCAATAAAGATTGCAAAGCAATATTCAAGCACACTGGTTCTCACTCGCCTTTTTGCTTTTGCACCATATTCTGCTATTTTTATTTGCCATTTGAAAGCCTGCATGTGAACAGAGGTTTCCTTGCATAGGTATTTGGGAATGGCTGCACCTGACAAAGCCTCTATCKCCTGTATGTACAAGGCTCAGCATCTTGGAAGAGGCATTAACGCCACTGAAAAAGGCTAATAAAGCAGAAAAATGAATCGATGTTACCCAAACTGCACGTCAAAGTATCAGCCTTGAGGCTGACAAGTTGACAGTGACGGGTTCATTTAGGACGGGCAGGTGCACAAGAGCCTAAACTACACTTTGCAAAAGCAGCCGAGTGGTTCTAGGGCCATTAATGCTTCTTGCCAACTTCCCCACCTCCACAAAGGGGAAAAAAAAATAAATGTTGCGCTGAAAGAAAATCAGCAAGTAAAATGAAATTGAGCAAAAATAAATAAATAAGATACTATTTCTTTTTCCAAAAGTGAAATTGCAGCCCAGTGCCAYAGTGAGGATCAGCTAATTGGTCAAAAGTGTGCTTCCTGCCGCTTCTAAATTACAGACGCCTGCATCGTCATGGTAAGTTAATAAAGATTTAGTCGGTAGAGGATTAGTGTGACACATTAAAACTATCTGAGCACCAGAAAAAGCCAGAACAAAGGCAGGCATTCCCTGAGAGTTTCTTTAAAATAGTGATGGATTAATAAAAATATTTTCTTTTATGTAGTTCAGCACCGCCTGCACCTAGTGAGTATCTTCCACCCATAGACGTTTTAAGTCAAAGAGCTGCATATGAATCATACAACCTTTAGAAAGCAGAAGCTTTCTAAATCTGCTTTAGAAAGCAGAGACTTTCTAAAAGGCTGTTAGGGCAGTTAACTGCTTGCTTAAAAAAATTTAATTTTTTAATTGGAGATTTTACAATATTTTCCTCTTTCTCCTGCTGCAAACAACAGGAATTGAACCATTTCCTTTCTGAACGTTTCCTAGACTGCTCCTCTGTGCATGCAGAAGGCAAAGCCTGGTTTTATCTTCATGTTGTGGGTCTAGTGATGCTTTCCCTCATGCTCGAGGCGTGTATCAGCCTATCCTGGATAAATGTAGGGCYGTGGAGGAGAGAAAAGAGGAGCCCTGTTGATGTGACAACACAAAATTGGAAGGAGGATGAGGAGTTCCCACCTGCATGACAGAAATCCACCCTATCGCTTTTCCGAATGCAACATTTTATGGAGGACTCTGAAATACCCCAATCCAGAAAAAAATAAGTGCATTAAAAATATAAACCCAGAAAGGATTCTTTTCTACCATGGAGAAATCTCCTCAAAGATTTCTAGATCCTTTGGTTATGCCTGCTTGGTGCATCAGCAAAGCAACCTGCTGAAAGCCCAGCTCAGGACCTAGGTATGACCTTTGCAGGCCAGGTCTGCAGGGGTTACCATTGATTACAATGKTTTTTGCACACCATTCATCATCATTTTTTAGCACCATCCTATGCTATTCATTCCCAGGGTTTAGGAGGATTTCCAAGCCCCCATCTTCAGGGATTTAAATGGGCATTATTCACATTAATAGAAAGGGAGCTTACAAATTATATACGCTTAAATCTGCTTTCTGCTCTTGAAAAAATAAAAATAAATCAAAAACCAAATTAGTCACTTTTTAAAAAAATCCATAAGACAATTTTAGGGTTTTTTTTTTTGATAGACATATAGGAACAGTCAATATTATTTGAAGATCAGACAYGAAAAGTCAGAAATAAGTGCAAGCCAGTCATCTCACGTGCCTTTTATATGCAGTGGAGAGAAACAGGCCCTGCCAGATGGCAAATCAGGTGGGCATCTCTCTAGATGATTCACCTTCTTTATGTGGCTGCTTCCTTACCCTGACTTTAAAATGAGCAGAGGGGGATGAGATCAGACTTTAAAACCTAATATTTGGATGTCCAGACTTGGATGAAATAGGCTCTCTCTTAAATCTTAAAGAGGGATTCAGCACATTATTTCATTTTTCTTCGGTGTGCAGCAATTTTTTGCTTTTAAGATGTTGCTAGGGCCACTTACAGCTTCATAATTCTCAAATATCTTAGGAGTCAGTGTGCCAAGACAAACTTCCCTGAGACTCTCATTAAAGCTGACTACATAAAATCAAAAAACGGTTATTTCTCTCTTAAAAAGAAAAAACAAAAATAAAAAACCACCATCGTTCTGTCTATGACAGGTACATATATAACAATAAAACTCTCAAAGTCCAATCGAGCTTAGGATTTCATTAAGTCAGGATCTTAGCTGCAAAGCTCTGTCCCTTSACTGCTTTCTCCTTCCCCACACTTACCTGAAACTCAAAAATGGGACTAGTCAGACTGCAGATGAATTGAACTATTAGTTCATAATTCTGTGGGCATTCCCTTGCAATTTAGTGTAGATAACAGCAGACGGGTAGAAGAATCATAAAAGCTCACTAACATGTATAAATTCCCACAGAAAAAAAWGATTTTAACAGTATTTTTTTCAGCACTCAATGTCCAAACGCATGCATTTCATTTCAAAAGAGTTATGGATAGCCCAAAACAATATGTATGCAAAAAAATCCCCAAATTTAATGCCTTCTACTATTTCCAGTAATTATATTAGCTTTTTCTGCAAAAAGTATCTGGATATGTATCAATTTCAGTAGATAGATTCCTATTTTCCATCTGTAGACAGACTTTTTTTTTTAACTCTTTCTTCCTCCTGGAGAAAAAAGTATAAACTTCTGGATTATTCTTTTTTCTTACATGCGTGCTAACACCGGCTTACTGGAATCCAGAACTGCCAACTTCACTGTGTTTATTAGAGGAAATTAAATGTCTCCAGGCACTGAAACGCTGTCGTCTTTGGCATTAAGGCATTGAAACAGTTCTGAGCTCAGCTCTGTCCTAGGCACTCACRTCTTCTAAGCACATCCCAGGCATAACAGAATCCCAGGATGGTTGGGGTTGGAAGGGACCTCTCGGGAACAACCAGTCCAACCCCCTGCTCCACAGGGACACCCAGAGCTCGGGACACCCGGTCACATCCCGGCGGGTTGGCAGATCTGCAGAGCAGGAGCCTCCGCAGCCTCCCTGGGCAGCCTGGGCCAGGGCTGGGCACCCTCACCCCAAACAAGTTCTTCCCCATGGAAGCTCCACATGGAGCTGCCTGGGCTCTAACTGGCACCCACTGCCCCTGGCCCCTCTCCAGCAGCTCCACATCCCTCTCGTCCTGGGGAGCCCAGAGCTGCCCCCAGTGCTCCAGGTTTGGCCTCCCCAGCGCTGAGCAGAGGGGCAGGATCAGGATCCCCTCCCTGCCCTGCTGCCAACGCTCCTGATGCAGACCAACTTCCACAGCCTGGAAGCTGGCATCAGCCTAGGACCATTCCCAACCTAGAGCTTGCACGAAGCTGGCTTCTTCTGTGAGAAATGGCCCCTTCAGCTCTTGCATTTGCATGAGAGTATTGAAAATAGCTCTCCTGCAGAATTACATACTGACAGTTCAGGTTTGTGCCATAAACACCTTGATCTGCAAGGACACAGACCCATGGCAAAGCAGTAGGCCACAAAGCCCAACATAAATGTAGCTAGAAGTGTGAATTGGGCAACACTCCAAGTCAACTTGGTCCAAAAAGAATCAAGATTACATCACAAAGCTATAGTCATTACTAGCATAACATATAAGGTTTACTGATGATTTACCTACATGGGACAACCTCTTACCTGCCCTTCATGAGCAGTTTTATAAGCCTTTGACCTGTCTTCAGAAAGTGAACTCAGACATGCATTGTTAGTTTAAACTATACTCCTAGGACCAAATGGCTATTATTCCTCTGCTGACAAGTAGGAAGAATCCCTTAAAATAACACAGCTGATGCTTTGGAACTGACCCTTTGAAAAAGCTAGGCTCATAGGTTTGTTCTCTATATTCTCCCGGGACTTCTATTTTTATACCATTCCTAATCAGAATACAATAAAAATCTGTTTTTTTTTTCTCTTCAATACCTTCAACAATAAATTTATAGATCAAGAAAATTATGCAAAAAGAATTCAGTATCCAAACTTTCAAAAATGACCTTTAACAAGTAGCTCTTCTATCTTGTTTACCATATAAACTACTAATCAGGAGTGAGAACTTGCACAAGTCACCTTGTGTTTTGAAGCCAGACCCAACGCTGAACCATACAGATTTAGTCATCTGATGTTTGTATCAGTCAGTTACCTCACGTCTCTCTGAATCTAATTAAAAAATTAGAAATGCAACAAAGGAGATGAATCGTTGTAATTCAAAATCTAATTCTTTCCAAATAAGAAGTACTGTTTGGGAATATGCAGGACATCTGGGAAATTAAAGGTGATCAGAAGAAGTAGGATGATGTTTATCTCTTGCCTTTATGCAATATAATTCCAAAGGTCAGGGCATGTAAATAATGCACATTTGTTCTTTAGGTCCCTTTCCTATCACAAAAGATAAGTATATTGGAAAATAAAGTAGGAGGTTATAGATCCGCATAGGATTTTGAACAAGACTTACTATGTTCTTTGGCAATTAGACAGGATCCATTCAAATCCCATTGATTATCCCACTTCTTCCCAGGTGGACWGAACAGAGACCAACAGAGCAAAGAGGAGTTTCCATTCATAAACACACCCCCAAGTCCAATGCTTAAGACTCTGCATTCATATAGGCAAGCCTGAATCCTACCCAGATTACCACTGCATTTTGACAGTATTTTTCCAAGTCAGCAATTTTTGGGGAATTACTTTACATTGGTTCTTTGTGGGTGTCTGTCCAGTGACGCATCTTTGCAAGAGCTGTTACTCCTGGTCGATGCACACTCTGGGTCATACAGGAAAATGCATCAAGAGGTAACTCAAGGCAACGTGAGCATTGCCAACCAACCAGTACATTCATACCCAGAGTGGTGGTTTTCCTAAGCAGAGGATATGCATCTCATGACTAGTTAGTGTAGGCCAATGGGTAGGTCCTAGTTGCTATTCCCTGGRTAGGTCCTGGATGCTACGCCCAGCTGTGCCAAACTAGGCAAGAAGCTTTCATGGTCCAGGTGTTCATTTCTCCATCTGTGCAGTAGGAGTAAAGATAATTATTCTCTGCTGGAGAGCACACTGAGCTCTACACCCGAAAAGCACCAGAGCTAAATCATCATTTATTAGACACGTTATAACCGTGATGATGTAGCTCTCAGCATCCTGTAAACCACAATTGTCCTTTTAGGCCAATATTGTTGCATGATGACTGTCCTGGGGCCGTGAACATGCAGCAAGTGCATCTCAAAGACTCCACGGGAGCAGCAAATGCCATAGGGAAAGTACAAGGCATGAATATTAAAAAAAATAAAAAATATGCAACAAATTGGAACAGACTGTCTCGTCTGTATGAATATTACCCAATTCATAGGTACATAGAGAAAAACCACAGCTAAAGCACATTGCGAGCAACCAAATGTAAATRTAATCCCAAACTCTGCTTTAACACTCCAGCGAGCTCACATCCATTACACTGGCAAACAGAGCTTTCTACCTGTGCAAATCAAGCCACGTAAGGGGAGGAAGAATTTAGTAGTAAGCCAAGTTGGGAACTGTACAGAACTGTGGAGTAAAGCCTTAAAATTATTCAGCTCTGTGGCTATAATTGGTTATAATGCTTTACTCCTCATTCTCAGCTGCCCCCCAATGAAGCATACATTAGTAGAACACATATTTCATTCACCATATTACCTTTCTAACTTAATTTTATAAAAGACAACACAATAACTCTAAATATAAATGGAAGATTTACACTTGAGAGTAACAGAGACAAATAAAGAGCAAAACTCTTCRCAAGGTCAGTTAGGAGGCAAGTGAGCATGAGGATGTCCTCACTGCCAGAAACCTACATAAAAAATCATAATTAATAGCAATAATTCTAGTATCAAAGCAAGTGTGGAAAACAGTAGCGTTTGGCGCTGTTGGAGGTTAAGCAACCTGTAAAATTCAATTAAATTAACGACTTAAGAGAAATCAGAACCAACCACCTTTTGCACTAGCACTGTTTGAGAGTCTGTTCTTTATTTTAAAGTAACTGTGGTTTTAGGATAGAGTAACATTTGAAGGAATAACACACAGCTCAGTAGCCTTTCCTGATATGTCAGGTAGGTGGTCACACACCTAAAGTATTTGAAAGAAATCCGAGATGACAAACCCAAACCAGATGGCAAAATATCGTTTTGTCCTCCCCCTGTTTCAAGAACATCACATCAACTCTCCTTGCTCAATATAGAGAGGAGAAAGAAAAAAAAAAAAAAAAAAAGAGAGAGAGAGAGAGGAAAAACATAGAAAAATGCACGTTGGTTGGAATCACCAAACTTCTGATCTGACTCAGAGGCAAGAACATGCATCTCCCTGAATTATTCCAACTAAACCAATTCCAAAGCACTAGTAGAAGGTCAGCTTTTGAGTCCCTTACAGGGCAGCAGAAGGCCATAAACTTGAGCTTTACGGGAACTTCTTGAGTTGAGAAGGACACAGCATGATGGACAACACATTCCTGTATCTCATGACTTCCAGGACACCTTTAATTGCCTGCAAAGCCTCCACTGCTCCGGCATGGGGGGCTCTGATAAAATCCACAGCTAGCAGGCTGCCTCCCTGAGCAGTGAAGAGCAGCTAAACCACAAGAGCTCAGTCCTGTCTATACTATCGATATTTACAACCAGGGGTATAGACTGCATGTGATTTGTTAGGCTGATCTGCCGCATTGGCCCCTGTCCGTGTGCCTGGCTCCTGTGTGAGTACTGCAGCAAAGCCTTCAGAAGATGACCGTGATATGAAAGATGATAGAAAGAAGGYGGGGGAAGGGGAATCATCAAAGAGAAAAGGTTCCAGAGATGCAAGTAATGCACTAAGGTCATTATAGAAGCAAAGCTCCCTGGAGAAACCTATAATTTATATATGCTAATATATCAACACTACTTATTTGGGAGTAACAGAATTAAATCCATGCACCCTCTCGATGCTATTTACCTAATGAGCAGCATTAAACACAATTGATGGATCGCTCTCCTGTGGGCACTAATGGCCCAGCTCTCCCTGCTCTGGCACCAGTGAAAGCAGGGACAGGGCAGCTTCCTCTAGGGAAAACCCTGCTCTCCTCMCCTGGGAACGCAGAGCGAGCCCAGTGAAATGAACAGTAAAAATAAGGGCAGGACCTTTCCTGGGCTGAGCAGAGAGATTTGGATGCTCAGATCCACGGCTTAGCTTACATTTACAGTTAGGAAAGACGTTCAGGATTACACAAGTAACACCTTACCTGCTGTTTGAACTCCTCCAGGGCTCAAGGATGATATTTCTTACACTGACTTGAGCAAGTAGCTCTGCTGTCAGTTGTCTCATCAACCAGGGTGAAGGAGCTGGACAGTCCAGGTCACCAGGCCAGTTGGTGGCAATGGGGTAGATCCAAGGTGAAGCCTGGATGGCACCTCACAAGTCCAGAACCTCCCAATTAAAGGGGAGCAAGACTAGAGACCAGCACTGATATAGGCTCACGGAGGCAGGCACCAGTATGGCCAGGCTGGGCCTCCAGGTGAGGCTCGTAAAGGCCATTAAGGCCTGTTTAGACAGAGCACCACGATTTGCATTCAGGATTTGCTCCACTGCCTGGTGSCAGATGATCATGATGCATGTTGGGCACGCACAACCATAAATGACATCCAGCCCTATGGAAGCAGCTCTTATCTGAATGTGTAATACCTATCTGACATTGCTTGGGAATAGCACTTATATAACTAGTTACAAATAAACTATCCCCCTGKTTTTTTTTGTTTTGTTTTGTTTTTTTTCARAATGATCAGCATGCAATTTCTACAAAAATCTCTTGTAAACAATGTGACTTTTTACATACTCCTTCGCTGCCTTTATTTTAAGAACTTTGTGTTTCCTGCAGAGAGGAAGGTAAATTATAATAGCATTGTACCACCCAAATGTGAGACACACAACTGTCAAAAAACCTTTCCTATTTTAACGTGACAACACTAGAAAGGGGATTAGCATAATTAGCAACGGTGGCTAATTATTTTCTTTATCAAAATGGCATTGTTTACTTGCTGCAAAATGCATAACAGCAGGCTGAGGCTGGGAAATTATAAACAGCACAGAATTTCTTTATTGGAGTGTGCATTCGCAGCCAAAAGGGAAGGAATGATCTCAGTGTGCTGCAGAGAAAGGCTCGACAGTGAATCACTTCAAAAATGCACCGTCAGTAGCGCATAGTGGAAAACRAGAGGTTTCTCCACCTTGGGGAAAATTTTGATTTTTTTTTCTTTTTTTTTGTTTTTTCTTTTTTTTTCCCTTGTAAGCGGTGTAATAGGAAGCCCCAAAGAGAAGAGCTCACTACAGACCCCTGCTGTTATGCTGGCAGAAACCAACCCGGGACAGCTCTGCTAAGGGCAAGGGGCTTGGAGAGGCCCTGGGGGAAGGTCCCCATCAGCATCTGGGAAGCGGGCAAGCTGGGGACAGCTGGGGCCAGCCTTACCTGGCATTTTAGCATATCAGTTATTATTTATCAATTAATATTTTATTATTTATAATAAATTATATTATTAAAATAGCATATTATTATTGTTTAATAATATTATTTTTCTTTATAAAGATATAATACAAAAATATTATATAAAAAATAATATTATTTTTCTATGTAAAGACTTTTTCTAAGACTGCAGTTTACCATTGTGATTAGAGAAATATTGCCTGTCAGGAGGGCTCAGGGGAGGTAAATTAGGTTTCTTGATCTCGAGCAGAAGTTCAAGCTGGTACCATGGGCAAAACTTTCAGGAGACTGCAGTTACCAGGAGCAATACTTCTTCTCTATTGTGAAAAATATCTGGAAATATAAATCATAAGTTATCGAMAGTAATCATAAGAGCTCGAAAAATATTTATATGTGAAAATAATGGGATTTTTGCTTTCTTTAGTGGAACCATTTCAAAAGCAGAGGATGTTAAGTTTTACTTACTTACACTYTTACTGAAGCACATTTTCATCTAGGCTTGCACAGTTGCCTGTGTATCACTTCCATCACTTGTCTTCATCCAGTCTTGTTAGAGACATAYGAAAGGGAAGCAAATACCCCTCTGAAGACAAAATGGATAAAAGGTGAAGGAAAAAATCTTCCCATCATAACACAGAGAAATATATATCTATATTTGATGAACTCTGCTAGCAAACATCCAAGCATGGGCTCTCAGGATGGAAAAAGCTGACACGTTGGACAGCCAGCCTTAATTTCTATAGCCAGAAGAATCAAGTGTGACCATTAGGACCCGTCAAAAATGTGCTGTTTCTAAGCCTGCTCTAGGCAGCAAAGGCTATGTGCAGCCTATACCACTGTGGGCAATTTCTTTTTTTGCTCTTTCCTTCGATTTTTTTGCTGTATCTSTGCCCCCAAATGTCTTTCTGATTAAACTTTTCTTGCCGCATGTGCTTTCCCGTGTCTCGCTTTGGCATTCCATTATAAACTATAATTAATGAGGGTGTGCTCCTTCGATGTTCGTCTTCTTGACGCTTAACATTTTTGTCTCTCTTCTTGCAAGGCTCTAGCCCTTTCTCCAAGAGAAATGCATAGCAACAGCTAACTTACCTCCTGCTCACTTCTCAGCTATTGAATTAATATAAAAAATAAAGGAYAATTTATTTTTTCACAATCACACCCGGACACCTATGAGAGCAGCAGCAGAAGGCATCCAATTAAACTGAAGAAGGAGAGTTTTCTTGATGGGGAGAAGTTCTCTTGAGCAAAATAAAATGCTTTATTCATTTTTTTTGTCCACTTTTACCTAGTTGTCCTGTTCAATTATTTATCCCCTCCTTGCTGGAATCCACTGGCTGTAGGAAAGCAAAACTTGATGCATGCCAAGTAAATCACAATATACAGAGGTATACATAAAACCTCTGAAAGTTAATTTTGTTGCTGAGAAGATTTAATATAGTGCAAAAAAACCTCTATCCTCCCTTTTAATTACGATCTCTATTTAAAAAAAATCCAGATTTCTCTGCTCATCGAGACCACGTGTCTTGGCTGCCATTAAGAAAGTGAGCAGGATTTAAGGACCAAACCAACCCAACACCTTCATTCCACTTCTGCTACATCCCCTAAGGTCACAGCCATAAGAAAAATTACAGCAGGTAGACTGTAAAACACGGCCTATCCATGCTCCTCGGAAATGTTATTATGAAGGAGSGTTTTTTTTGCCCTGTCTCAAATTTTCCACAGGTAGAAACAACACCACAGAGACCTTAAAGGTCCAATTGTAGAAGTTTCCATGTTAGAAAGTTGTCCTAAACTCCATGGTGGGGACATGTAAGGTGGTTAGAGGAGATTGCAGGATGACTTAAGTCAGGATATACACACTGGGGAATAGGGAGACTTCTGAGTGTCTTCAGCATGCCGGAGAAACCACCTTTGAGGTTTTCACACTGAGTGACTCCTCTTTCCTTTCCATTTTCCCAAGAGATCAAGATGAAACCCAGAGCAGATGATTTATTCCTTGGATGCAGCAGGGCCACTATTCCTCACTCTTATTTTTGAGGCTTGCTGTGATCAAGGAGACATGCTTGTAGGCATGGGYAGAGCATAAACTCTAAGCAGAAACTTCTGATGCAGAGTTGAGCCCACGTAACCTCCAAGGCTGCTGGCACCTCCAGCTGATGCAATATTAGCATTAGGACTTATGGAAACATCGAATTTAAGTGTCAGCTTTCTCCCTGCACATACTTTTGCTACAAAAAGATATATAGCATGTGTTTCCTAGATATCTCAACATATTTTATGCTTAACGTTCACAAATGTATTCAGGTATTTTTAGCATCGCCTTGCCGCCTCTCCTTCTGCGGGAGGGCTAATATACAAGATTTAACAACCAATATGCAAGAGACCCAGAGACAGCAGTAATTCTTGGGGTTCGGCTGACATTTGTGAACCTCTTGAGCTCAGCTGCTCTCATGGTTTATGACATGTGCAGAACCACTTGAGGGAATTAATAACCCACTACCTGTCTAGAATGAGAAATCTCCTGTCTTCCGCCTAAATATAACATCTGCCCATCTCTCCTTTCTACTTTTTCCAGTCTTTTTCCTTCTGTGTGATTTTTTTTTTCAATTTTAATCAGGAGAAGAGGAATCATGGAGCACTTGAAAATTAATTCTAATAACAATCTAATTATGGGCTCTTGAGATCTGTTTTAGAATGAAAYTCAAAATTATTGACTGACGTGGGGTCGATATAAAATGCTCAATCTCATACGTAGCCACTGGACCAGTTTCTGTGCTAAGAAGCCTTAGTGAAGCTCCCATAGGCTCCATACAGATGGACACACAACTTGACCGTGTCTGTTGGATGCTTACTTAGATTACTGATTAATCCTCCTGTCTGAAATGTTTCAAATAATGATGGATCTGCACTTAAACTGATGGCTGTGAGAAGAAAGCTAGGAAGTTGTCAACCCAATCCATTTTATGAGACCCATGTCACRCCTCTCCCCTAGGACCCCAGCAACTGCTTTACTTTGGAGTTAAAACAGGTAGTTTTCCCCTATCTCTAACATATATTCACTACTACGTATTTCTGCAAGGTCACAAATCCCCAAAAATAGATCTTAGATMTGACCAGACACATGACAAAGTAGCCAAAAACCATCAATATTCATCTCAGAATGACAATCCTGTTACCACAGCGCTGAAAAGTCTCACTGGGGCTACCACAATAACAACATCATTTTGACACATCCCAATCTGGGAGAGAAAACACAGTTTGAAGTAACTATAAGAAATTACACTCCCGTAGGCTTTAGTCGAGATGCTCAACGAGGAGCTCTGCGGGTAATCAGCGTGGGGAAGCAAGGAGAGAAGAGCAGGAATCCAGCCAATTATGGAGCCAGCTTGATCCAARTTCCCATGTTCTTTCTGCGCCTCTAGTGAGTACACAATAGTAGACAATTCTGCCTTAAAAGAGGGGATCCAACTACACCCAAATGATACTGCTTGAATGCAAGGGAGCAGACTAGCAGTGAAATCAATTGGGCTGAGCATCACTGATCCAAGGCAACTTTTATCATGTGTTTAACTGACACCGTACTGAGTACAACCGTCCTTAACCAAAGTGAGAGCTGATCCATGCCTGGCATGGGAGAGCAGACACGTTGCCTTAAAAAGCMCAGCTAAGGTAGTCCAAAACCTTAATGACTGTGCTCAGGCGTTAAGGGTTTATAGACCCTTCTGGTGATAACGTTCATCCCAAGGCTGAGGCAGAGCAGYGAGAATCACTGACGCTCAGCCCAACTCCTCAACTCTCTATTTTTCTTTTGCAATCGGTTGCTAAAGCTGGCGCACGGCTCTGGACACCAAAACCAATGAATCAAATATAATGAGTCTGACATGTCACCTCRCACAACACTGGGAAGCGTTAGCAAAAACACCCTCGGTTCCGT